ATCATAGTGAGTTGGATACAGTGAGGTATCATAGTGAGTTGGATACAGTGAAGGAGTACAGTGAGTTAGATACAGTGAGGAATCATAGTGACTTGGATACAGTGAGGGATCATAGTGAGTTGGATACAGTGAGGAATTGTAGTGACTTAGATACAGTGAGGGATTACAGTGAGTTGGATACAGTGAGGGATTACAGTGAGTTAGATACAGTGAGGGATCATAGTGAGTTGGATACAGTGATGGGTCATAGTGAGTTGGATACAGTGAGGGATCATAGTGAGTTAGATACAGTGAGGGATCATAGTGAGTTAGATACAGTGAGGGATCATAGTGAGTTGGATACAGTGAGGGATCATAGTGAGGTGGATACAATGAGGCATCATAGTGAGTTAGATACAGTGAGGGATCATAGTGAGTTGGATACATTGAGAGATCATAGTGAGTTGGATACAGTGAGGGATCATAGTGAGTTAGATACAGTGAGGGATCATAGTGAGTTGGATACAGTGAGGGATCATAGTGAGGTGGATACAATGAGGCATCATAGTGAGTTGGATACAGTGAGGGATCATAGTGAGGTGGATACAATGAGGCATCATAGTGAGTTGGATACAGTGAGGAATCATAGTGAGTTGGATACAGTGAGGAATTGTAGTGACTTAGTTACAGTGAGGGGTCATAGTGAGTTGGATACATTGAGAGATCATAGTGAGTTGGATACAGTGAGAGATCATAATGAGTTGGATACAGTGAGGGATAACAGTGAGTTGTATACAGTGAGGTATCGTAGTGAGTTGGATACAGTGAAGGAGTACAGTGAGTTAGATACAGTGAGGAATCATAGTGAGTTGGATACAGTGAGGGATCATAGTGAGTTGGATACAGTGAGGAATTGTAGTGACTTAGATACAGTGAGGGATTACAGTGAGTTGGATACAGTGAGGGATTACAGTGAGTTGGATACAGTGAAGGAGTACAGTGAGTTAGATACAGTGAGGGATCATAGTGAGTTGGATACAGTGAGGGATCATAGTGAGTTGGATACAGTGAGGGATCGTAGTGAGTTACATACAGTGAGGGATCATAGTGAGTTGGATACATTGCGAGATCATAGTGAGTTAGATACAGTGAGGGATCATAGTGAGTTGGATACAGTGAGGGATCATAGTGAGTTGGATACAGTGAGAGATCATAGTGAGTTAGATACAGTGAGGGATCATAATGAGTTGGATACAGTGAGGAATTGTAGTGACTTAGATACAGTGAAGGATTACAGTGAGTTATATACAGTGAGGAATCGTAGTGAGTTAGATACAGTCAGGGATCATAGTGAGTTGGATACAGTGAAGGATCATAGTGAGTTGGATACAGTGAGGGATCATAGTGAGTTAGATACAGTGAGGGATCATAGTGAGTTGGATACAGTGAGGAATTGTAGTGACTTAGATACAGTGAGGAATCGTAGTGAGTTGGATACAGTGAGAGATCATAGTGAGTTGGATACAGTGAGAGATCATAGTGAGTTGGATACAGTCAGAGATCATAGTGAGTTGGATACAGTGAGAGATCATAGTGAGTTGGATACAGTGAGAGATCATAGTGAGTTGGATACAGTGAGAGATCATAGTGAGTTGGATACAGTGAGAGATCATAGTGAGTTGGATACAGTGAGAGATCATAGTGAGTTGGATACAGTGAGAGATCATAGTGAGTTGGATACAGTGAGAGATCATAGTGAGTTGGATACAGTGAGAGATCATAGTGAGTTGGATACAGTGAGGGATCATAGTGAGTTGGATACAGTGAGGGATCATAGTGAGTTGGATACAGTGAGGGATCATAAGGATTACAATGAGTTGGATATAGTGGGGAGTTGAATGCATGCAATAACAAAATAGTAAGAATGACGAAGAAAAACAGACTTACTAGTTTTCTCAGTATCTCTGTTTCTAATGTAAATATAGTTCACTTCATATACAACGCTCAAATCTACCATCCACCATGGTTTATTTT